TTGGCGGGTACAGCAAGTGTGATCAATAAATAATAAATAAATATTCTCTTTTCGGAAGCTAGCTAATATCTTGTAGGGTTAGTTGGACTTCAGTTTGTCAGATCTACTATCCATCAAGCAGAGAGGGATAACAATAGGCAGACATTCCAAATTAAGGAACAAGGGTGCCTCTGAGCATTCACCGATTACGTTTTAGCTAATTTCTTGTTATTGTTTTTGCAGCACCAGTTTAAGCAAGAGCCTACTCTTGAACCCCATTTTCACTGCCATATAAAATCCAGATTATCTGCTTTATTTATTTATTTTCAGCTTTTATATTCCGCCCTTCTCACCCCGCAGGGGACTCAGGGCGGATTACAGTGTACACATATATGGCAAACATTCAATGCCAATTTTTGACATACAAACATATACAGACATACACAGAGGCTATTTAACTGTTTCTGGCCGCCAGGGGAGCTGTCGCTTTCATCGTCCATCTGCGACACTGATGAAGCACTTCCGCATTCCCTGCATGCTTCCCCGCTGGAATGCTTTGCTGGAGTCTTCTTTATGGCCTCATAAATCAGTTAATTTAGCCTCCCCACACTTTAAGGTGGTATCTAATTTTCCTACTTGACAGATGCAACTGTCTTTCGGGTTGCAAAGGTCGACAACAGGCTACACACAATTGGTTGGAAACCCACTCCAACCCGGGCTGGCTTCGAACTCATGATCTTAATGCAGCTGACACTCAGCCAGCTGCACCACAATCCCGGTGCTTTGCACTGGGTTATATGTCTACACTGCCATGTAATCCAGTTCAAAGCAGATAATCTAGATTTGATATGGCAGTGTAGCTGGGACCTTGGCTACACCAAGTTGTCTTTCTTTCAGGGATCGATGCTTTACTTCCGAAACTTGGTAATTCATTGCTAATGTCACTACACACGATAATAATGAGTCAAAAGCTTGTAAATATCACCCAGAGATCTGTTGATCCTGATCAACATCCTGCTTCTCCAAGGAAGCCAGAATACGAACCAGGAAGTTACTGATACACACCAAATAGAGATGAGATATTTATTAGTAATTTCCTGATTCACAACTTGCTCTGCTAGTCTTGGCAGTCCAACCTGTGAATATGTTGTCCTATTGTCTGTATTAGAATGATGGGACTGTTGCGAGAGTTTGAACTGGTGCAGTGTTTTCTTATAAGGAAACTGGGAGAGTAAATATGGGTATATTGAAATAGAAAGTAAATATTGTGTATTGCATAAGAAAGAAGTATACACTTCCTGGACAATGCCTTATACTCAAAAATCCCTTCTGGATCAGGTCTACCTAGAACAGAAACCTATTTCTCACTTGGCCACAATTGGCATTGGAAAGTCCCACCAACCAGCAGGAAAGTAATGGAAGAGCTCCAGTTAAGTATCAAAGTCTTGTTGCCTCTGGAGGTGATATGTAGCTGCCATGTGTTGAAGCTGTTGGCAGCCTTATCTGGTGATGAACTTGCCCAAAGCCCTTTAGAAGCCACCCAAGTTGATACTAATCACCATCTTTTCTGATATGGCACTTGCTTCCTTCATTTCATTGCATAATAAGCAAACTTTCCTTCTCACCAGAATCTCACACTGTACAACCTTCTTGCACAACTAGTTGTAGGAACCTCTATTATAATTATCCCTGATGAGATGCATAATGTCGTGGCTGAGCTACTGAACAAGATAAGGGCATCCAAAACTGAATTTTCCTCTTGTCATGAAAGCCATGGTTAGTAAGCTTGCTGTTTTTTGACCCTGGCAGCCCTAGCTTGCAATCCAGCACCGGTTGGAAGCCTACATGATTCTCACCCAAACCTCATTTACCAGGGCACAGCTACCAGCCTCTTCCCAGTAGACTCAAATCAACAAAAACCTTTATGAGAACTACCACTCCTCTTGCTGTCCCCCCAGTAACAGCAAGGGTATCCCTCTGGGCAGCTAAACCAGGAAACCCCAACTGGATGGCCCCCCACGAGGGTCTTCCTCCAGGGGCAAACCAAGAATGTGCAACCTGGAAGTCCCTGAACAGACTCAGAAGTGGAGTGGGCAGATCAAAAGACAACTTGGCAAAATGGCACTACCTAAAAGAATCCCACACCTTGTGTGACTGTGGAGCAGAACAGACATCTCCACGTCTGTATGCTTGTCCACTGTACCCTGCCTCATGTACAGAGGAAGACTTGTTAGAGGTTACAGAACTCCAGTATGCTGATGACAACGTCATCTGTTCGCATTCAGAAGAAGACCTGCAAGCCACTCTAAACACCTTTGCAGAAGAAAACGAGAAGCTTGGCCTGTCATTAAACATTGAGAAAACCAAAGTGCTCTTCTAGCAGTCACCAACCAATCCCTCTCCAATACCAGAAGTACAGCTTAATGGTGTAACATTAGAAAATGTTGACCATTTCTGCTACCTTGGCAGCCACCTCTCCACTAAAGTCAACATTGACACTGAAATTCAACACCACCTGAGCTCTGCGAGTGCAGCATTTTTCCGAATGAAGCAGAGAGTGTTTGAGGACCGGGACATCCGTAGGGATACCAAGGTGCTTGTTTATAAAGCTATTGTCCTCCCAACCCTGCTATATGCCTGCGAGATGTGGACAGTCTACAGACATCACATGCAACTCCTGGAACGATTCCATCAGTGCTGCCTCCGGAAAATCCTGCAAATCTCTTGGGAAGACAAGCGGACAAACATCAGCGTGCTGGAAGAAGCAAAGACCACCATCATTGAAGCGATGGTCCTCCGCCATCAAGTCCGCTGTACCAACCACGTTGTCTGACCACCATCTCCCAAAGCAGTTGCTCTACTCCGAACTCAAGAATGGAAAACGGGATGTTGGAGGACAGAAAAAGAGAGATATTGACAAGCTGGAATGTGTCCAGAGGAGGGCGACTAAAATGATCAAGGGTCTGGAGAACAAGCTCTATGAGGAGCAGCTTAAGGAGCTGGGCATGTTTAGCCTGAAGAAGAGAAGGCTGAGAGGAGATATGATAGCCATGTATAAATCTGTGAGAGGAAGCCACAGGGAGGAGGGAGCAAGCTTGTTTTCTGCTTCCTGGAGACTAGGACGCGGAACAATGGCTTCAAACTACAAGAGAGGAGATTCCATCTGAACATGAGGAAGAACTTCCTGACTGTGAGAGCCGTTCAGCAGTGGGACTCTCTGCCTCGGAGTGTGGTGGAGGCTCCTTCTTTGGAAGCTTTTAAACAGAGGCTGGATGGCCATCTGTCAGGGGTGATTTGAATGCAATATTCCTGCTTCTTGGCAGGGGGTTGGACTGGATGGCCCATGAGGTCTCTTCCATAGAATTCTATGATTCTATGAAAGCAGCTAATCCCTCTCCAATGCCAGAAATACAGCTTAATGGTGTAACATTAGAAAATGTTGACCATTTCCGCTACCTTGGCAGCCACCTCTCCACCAAAGTCAACATGGACACTGAAATTCAACACCGCCTGAGCTCTGCGAGTGCAGCATTTTTCCGAATGAAGCAGAGCGTGTTTGAGGACCGGGACATCCGTAGGGATACCAAGGTGCTTGTTTATAAAGCTATTGTCCTCCCAACCCTGCTATACGCCTGCGAGACGTGGACTGTTTACATATGTCACATGCAACTCCTCAAACAATTCCATCAGCGCGGCCTCTGAAAAATCCTGCAAATCTCTTGGGAAGACAACGTGCGGCAGCCATGATTCTAACAGGAGCGGAACGCAGGGAGCAATCCGCCCCCCTGTTGCGCCAACTCCACTGGCTATCGATTTGCTACCGGGCTCAATTCAAAGTGCTGGTGTTGACCTTTAAAGCCCTAAATGGTTCCGGCCCAAGCTACCTATCCGACCGCATCTTGGCCTATGAACCCACCAGGACTTTGAGATCTTCCAGGGAGGCCCTGCTCTCGATCCCGCCAGCTTCACAAGCACGACTGGCGGGGACGAGAGATAGGGCCTTCTCGGTAGTGGCTCCCCGGCTGTGGAACGCCCTTCCCACGGACATTAGATTAGCACCATCTCTAGTGGCATTCCGCAAAAAAGTAAAGACCTGGTTGTTTGTGCAGGCGTTCGAGTACTTAGTGCAATGATTGATAATGACGTAGGAATGGAACAATGGATGACGGATTTGGATCGTGTTTTTAGTGATGAGACGTTATTGAATGGTTATTATAATAATTGTGTACTAACTGTGTATTAGATAGGTTGTTAATTGTTTTTTATTGATGCATTGAATTTTGCTGTTTCCTATGTGCTGTGAACCGCTGTGAGTCGCCTTCGGGCTGAGAACAGCGGTATAGAAGTAAATAAATAAATAAGACAGGTGGACAAATGTCAGCGTGCTGGAAGAAGCAAAGACCACCAGCATTGAAGCGATGGTCCTCCGCCATCAACTCCACTGGACCGGCCACGTTGTCCGGATGCCCGACCACCGTCTCCCAAAGCAGTTGCTCTACTCCGAACTCAAGAACGGAAAACAGAATGTTTGTGGGCAGGAAAAGAGATTTAAAGATGGGCTCAAAGCCAACCTTAAAAACTCTGGCATAGACACTGAGAACTGGGAAGCCCTGGCCCTTGAGCGCTCCAGTTGGTGGTCAGCTGTGACCAGCAGTGCTGCAGAATTTGAAGAGGCACGAATGGAGGGTGAAAGGGAGAAACGTGCTAAGAGCAAGGTGCATCAAGCCAACTCCGACCGAGACCGCCTTCCACCTGGAAACCGATGCCCTCAATGCGGGAGAAGATGCAGATCAAGAATAGGGCTCCACAGCCACCTACGGATCCACCCCCAGGTTACCACTCTTGGAGGACCATCATCCTGGGACTAAGTAAGTAAGTAAGTAGAGGCTACAGACAATGCCACTGCTGTTGCCCGTTTTTGGTCAAAAGATATTTAGCCCCCTGCGCTCCTTCTATTTTTATACTAATTTATGCAATGCTTTTGATACAAAACAAATAAATTTGCCTTCACTGGGACTCACCTTGGGGCTCTGTCCCACCATGACGTCCGTGCATCCGACGGGGAAGGCGCCTTGGCCCCGGGGCAGCCCCAAAGACTGGGTCACCCCCATTCTCTCCTCTCTTCCTTCGCCTTGGGCTTTGCTCTGGCTGGGAAAGAGCCAGCGGGACCTCCAGCGCCCAGTTTCACTTCCTCCTTCTTAGCCAGCAGCCCATTGGCTGCCTCAAAGCTTCTCTAGTGTGTGTCTTTGCAATGCCGGGGGCGGAGTTTGGAAGGGAAAGGGAGAGGAAAACAACTGTTTAAAGGGAAGAGATCGGAGATACAATCAGTCCAAAGGGCAAGGAAGTGAAGATGGACTTTTTGCAAGAAGCCCCAGGGGCTTGGAAAAAGGAGCCTGTCTCTTTAAAGGTGTCCCTCAGCTCCCAGGAAAACCAGCTTTGAGATTGTAGAACAGAAGCTCTCCAAAGCTCTAGGTGCTCTTACTGCCTATTACAGGGAAAACCAGCTGATCCCCAACCCATCTAAAACACAGACATGTGCCTTTCATCTCAAGAACAGAGAAGCATCCCGAGCTCTGAGGATCACCTGGGAAGGAATCCCACTGGAGCATTGCAGCGCACCCAAATACCTGGGAGTCACTCTGGACCGTGCTCTGACCTACAAGAAGCACTGCCTGAACATCAAGCAAAAAGTGGGTGCTAGAAACAATATCATACGAAAGCTGACTGGCACAACCTGGGGATCACAACCAGACACAGTGAAGACATCTGCCCTTGCGCTGTGCTACTCTGCTGCTGAGTATGCATTCCCAGTGTGGAACACATCTCACCACACTAAAACAGTGGATGTGGCTCTTAATGAGACATGCCGCATTATCACGGGGTGTCTGCGCCCTACACCACTGGAGAAATTACACTGCTTAGCCAGTATTGCACCACCTGACATCCGCCGGGAAGTTGCAGCCAATAGTGAAAGGACCAAGGTAGAGATCGAAATAATTAATAAATAAATAAATTACACTGCTTAGCCGGTATTGCACCATCTGACATCCGCCGGGAAGTAGCAGCCAATAGTGAAAGGACCAAGGCAGAGACATCTCCAGCTCATCCCCTGTTTGGGTATCAGCCAGCACGTCAACGACTTAAATCTAGAAATAGTTTTCTAAGATCTACAGAGACACTCGCTGGAACACCTCAGCAAGGGAGAGTCCAAAAGTGGCAGGCTCAAACCCAGAACCTCAACCAATGGCTGATACCAAATGAGAGACTCCTGGGCACACAGAAGACTGGGCGACTTGGAAGGCGCTGAACAGACTGCGCTCTGGCACCACGAGATGCAGAGCCAATCTTAAGAAATGGGGCCACAAAGTGGAATCCACGACACGCGAGTGCGGAGAAGAGCAAACCACTGACCACCTGCTGCAATGCAACCTGAGCCCTGCTACATGCACAATGGAGGACCTTCTTGCAGCAACACCAGAGGCACTCCAAGTGGCCAGCTACTGGTCAAAGGACATTTAATCAACTACCAAGCTTGCAAACTTTGTGTTTTGTTTGTTGTTTGTTTAAAAATGCAATACAACTGTTTGGTCTGCCCCTGACACGATAAATATACCAGTGATGGTATTCATCATCCTTGCTTGCTTTGCCTACAATGGGCACTTGGAGAAGATAATCTGATGAAATCGGAACATTAAAAACAACCTTGAGTTCCTGAGAAAGGCTACCCAGCTTTATAGGAAGGGCTGGGGCTGTCATTTGGCAGAAGGAGGCAGCCGCCTCAGGGAACAAATACTACAAAGTGTCATGTAGCAGGAAATTGCTAGAAAAGGAAACTGTGAAAACCATGGGACCTGCCCCACAGCCCTGGCACTGCAGTGCTTTATTCCAACATTCAGACCCCTTCTACACTGGCATATACACTGGTTCTTGTATTTTATTTTATTTTATTTATATTTTACTGCTGTGTTTGGTTGTATATTGCCTTACTGTATTGCTGGGCTTGGCCTCATGTAAGCTACCCTGAGTCCCCCTGGGGAGATGGTGGCGGGGTATAAATATATTTATCTACTAGCAGCCCCTGCCACGCGTTGCTGTGGCCCAGTCTGTGTATATGTGTATTGTGTGTGTATATGTGTATATGTGTATATTTGTGTATATGTGTATATATGTGGTTTTGTGCATGCGTTGCAATGGATTTTTTGTAATGGATTTTTTTTTGAGCTCCTGGTGGCGCAGTGGGTTAAAGCCCTGTGCCGGCAGGACTGAAGACCAACAGATCGCAAGTTCGAATCCGGGGAGAGGCGGATGAGCTCCCTCTATCAGCTCCAGCTCCTCATGCGGGGACATGAGAGAAGCCTCCCACAAGGATGATAAAACATCAAAAATCATCCGGGCATCCCCTGGGCAACGTCCTTGCAGACGGCCAATTCTCTAACAACAGGACACTCCTGACATGACAAAAAAAAAATGGATTTTTTAAATTTTTGGCTTTTTAAGTCTCTTCTGCTGTGTTTTTCAGTGTTTTTATGAGTGATGGTAACTTGTTGGCTTCAGAGGTGGCACATTTTGGTGTTATGGAAAATTAAGTAATGAGAAAGTCTGCTTAATAACAACAGCAAGAATAGTATTAGTAATAATAATAATAATAGAATCCTAGGGACCTCCAAGGGCCATCCAATCCTGCCCCACAATCAAAGCACTCCTGACAGATGGACATTCACTCTCTGCTTAAGAATAATAATAATGTAATAATAATAACAACAATAATAATAGTAATAGAATTCTAGGGTAGGAAGGGACCTCCAAGGGCCATCCAGTACAGCCCTTTCTGCTATAAAGGACAAACACAATCAAAGCACTCCTGATAGATGCAAGCCCTCTCTGCTTCCGCCTCTGCTGGTTAGGCTTTTTAATTCGCCTTCAATCAATGAGCATGCTGAACTCCACCACTGGGATTTCTTTGGATTTCTAGTTCACCTTCAATCAAACAGCAGTCAGGACTCAGCTGCGGGGGGGGGGGGGGCTTTGTTCTCCCTCCTCACACGCTGCCTTTTTGCACCATTTTCAGTGCTGTGAGTGCCCTGCTGCCTGCAGGGAAGGTGGGGTGGGGTGGGGGACCTCCCTGGCTCAAGAACAAGCGGCCTCCTGACATTGCCGGGCCTTGAGCAGGGGGGGAGGGGGAGGAGGAGGATGCAAGCCCTCTCTGCTTCCGCCTCTGCTGGTTAGGCTTTTTAATTCGCCTTCAATCAATGAGCATGCTGAACTCCACCACTGACAGAATTGAACAGAAGGGGAAGGTGAGGTAAGGTGGCCTCCTGGGTGCTCCTAGCCTCCCTTGCCTCTTGCCCTGATCCAGCAGTGAGGGAGGATGGCCGTTGGTGCCTCTCGCGCTGGCTGTGCCCGCGTGGGGGGGGGGGGGGAGAGAATGGGTTTGCATTCATGCGCAGTGTTCTCTTTTTCCTTTTTAAAAATTTAAAGGTCTTATTGTTTTTTGGGAGGAATTTTGAGTGCAGGACATAGATTGCTCTGAATGCTGTCTTGTGTCCAAATTTGGTGTCAATTTTCCCAGTGGTTTTTGAGTTCTGTGAATACCACAAATGAACATTATATTTTTATTTATATAAATAAATATATAAATGTTCTGTGCATAATGAGTACCTTAAAACAAAAGAACCAATGAACGAAATCACAACAAATTTGGCAACAAAACGTCTCACAACACAAGGAGTGACCATCACTCAAAAATTGATTTTGTCATTTGCGAGTTGTAGTTGCTGGGATTTATAGTTCACCTACAATCAAAGAGCATTCTGAACTCCATCAACGATGGAATTGAACCAAACTTGGCACACAGAACTCCCATGACCAACAGAAAATACTGAAAGGGATTGGTGGGCATTGACCTTGAGTTTTGGAATTGTAGTTCACCTACATCCAGAGAGCACTGTGGACTCAAACAATGATGGATCTGGACAAATTTGGCACAAATACTCAATATGCCCAAATATGAACACTGGTGGAGTTTGGGGAAAATAGACCTTGACATTTGGGAGTTGTAGTTATGTGAATTGGGATTCGCAGTTCACCTACAATCAAAGAGCATTCTGAACTCCACCAATGGCGGAATGGAACCAAACATGGCACACAGAACTCTCATGACCAACAGAAAATACTTAAGGCAATCCAATCCAACTCCCTTCATCAGTGTTCTGGTACAGATGTACGAGGAGCTCCAATTTTGTTTGCTTTACATTAAATGTTTTTTTTTTTTTGCAGTCCTAGGTTTCAGGGATTCTGCAGAAGGGTGGCTTCTTGTTAAACTTTGCAGTTATAGGGCAGGCCCCCTGTCCATCATTGTTAAGTTTGGTTCCGCCCCCTGTTCAGGACAATTGAGAAGGGAAAGGAGCCATTTTCAATCAGTCTCAGCAAGGAAAGTCAATGTACAGGACGTATACAGACTTCTCCTGTACAAAGGCTTCAACCCTTAAGACCTCCCGGGGGAGAACAGGCTTAAGAGCAAAAGGATTCCCAAAGATTCCTAGGGAAACAGCCCTAAAGATCCGAGGAATTTCGGAGGGAAAAAACAGCTTTGAACATCTAAGAACTCCAGCTGAAGTGACTACAGGCCTACTGGTAGGTCCACTCGGTGCTTTGAAACACAGTTCAACCCGGTAGTGGCGCCCACATCAGTTAGGTTTAGGTTCACAGTTAGCCTGAGAGAAGTTTGGAAAGGGATTTTCCTTTAGAGTAAAGTAACAGTTAGAAGCCACCAGTTGCACAAAAGCCTGGAAGCATTTGTTTAACCCTTTGAAGACAAAAGAAGTTTCTGTTGATTGTTCACCAATAAAAGACTTTGTTATATTTTACAAGCCCTCTAGAGACTGTTTATGGTGAAAATCCTTGAGAATTTCTATTTGGGCCCCCTGGCTTCGCGCTGGGCTAAAGTTGTACGTCCTGTTTTAAAAGCAATTCATTTCAAGCCGAGCGCGCGACAGAACAATCAGAGCAAGGAAACATAATCAAAGTCCTCCTGAGCCATCCAGCCATAGATAGATAGATAGATAGATAGATAGATAGATAGATAGATAGATAGATTTTTATTTATCGTGTCATCAGCAACCATTGTATTACAATTCTAACAGAGCAAAACAAACACACAGATTAAAGAAAAAGGAAAAAAAACACACAGATTTTGCAAATTTGGTATTTGGTTAAATGTCCTTT